AGGGATTTTGCAAAGCCTCCCAAAAGCTTCACAAAATATCTCGCAATATTTCAGACTTTGCACTTTTGTCAAATCAAAAACGGTAGGCTCGACACTCCCGGAGTTGGTGTGGGCGAATTCCCCTGGTTAGACGGATTTGTGCGAGTTGGGTTGAAATGCTCATCATTAAAGACACTTCCCGCGATCAAGTGATCAGCGAAATGCCTCCGTGCATTTGGCATCGTTGTCCGCACTCGCAGAGAATATACCACTTTCGTCACTCGAAATAACAAGCTAGAGACGCGTGAGTTTTGCAACCGGTGCAACCGCGTACTGTAACTCTGCAAGACAACGGCTTAAAGCGGAACAGGAGTGTACATAGCGTTGCCTGGAGCGTCGTAGGGCGATCTCCCATGCTTTTACCGGAGAACTGGTCCCACCTAGAACCCTGCTGATCGGGCTTGTCCTCATGATTCGTCCAAGGCGCCGTCCCCACAGCTAGGGGTGGGGTCTGTGCTCAGGGTGTTCACAAACTTTTTTCCGCTTCTTTCTACTACTGATGAGTTTTTGATGGGCTACTGGTTCATGACTGAGCACCTGCTACCTGTTACACTTGATCGCGGGAATTGTCTTTGAGTAAAGAACTACCATAATAATGAACTACTGTATTGGGCCCGAGGCGTGAGGCATATTTCGATCAGTTTTTGTTCTGAGCTTTGGGAGCTTTCCTGTACTCTGGACGGTTTTGGGGAAAAACCGACGTCTTGATCTGCTGCTGCATATTCAAACGACAAATTTTGCTGAGTATATGTACAAAGTCCTCTGGCTATTAAAAAAAATAAATGTCACTCTCACTTATCGGCACACTCCTTCTTCTTTCGGGTTAGCGGTGTTACCGGAAATATAATGACCGTTCTGAAACAACACAACGAAGAATATTATACTGACTAGACAGCACATCACGTCTTTTAGAGCAAGATGCTACCCACCTGCTTCTCAGTTCACGGGTTTGTGGCTCAGTGCAAGGAATCTGCTTCCCTATTTGCTCCGCAAGTACTTTTCTCCGGCTGAAAAGGATGTCTGCTCGAAACGAAAATAGTGTTAACTCACGACACTAGAGTTTCATCCAAGCAGCATATCATAGTCAACAAATCTAAGGGATAACAAAGCCTTGTACCAAACAACATTAGCAGTTTGCAAACAAGTGAAAAAGGCTAATGCCGTTCAGACGCGCTCACATTTGCCTACAAGCGCTCTGCCAAGGCTAAGCCCAAAAGATAATCGTAGTGTTCACCATTATCGCCAGCGCCAAGAACGAGTGACATATTCGCCAGCGCCAAGAATGAGTGTCATATTCGTAATCAGGATGTTAAATTACCCTGTATACAAGTTTTCAGCGGATTTGGTGATCTAGGCACTTCATAAATGAGCTTGTAGCCAAAAGTGAGCGCGTTCAAATGGCATCAGTCGTGAAAAAGAATGCGCATTATTGCGAGCAGTCGCGTACCCATTGCTACACTCTTTATTTTCCTGAGATGCTGGCGTATTCGGGGGTGGCCTAGGGACTGCACTGAACAAAAGCTTCCGACTGGTATCCAAAATGCAATATAACTTTTCACAATACCTGTTTTTCAGTTCACGTTTCTTTGATTCTTCCCAGTCTGGCTCCTCCTTCACCATGGGTTCGGATACCAGCGAATTAGAACTGTAATTGCCATTTAACTCCACAGAATGACCCATAACGTAACTGAGGCCATCTCAATCGTATATTGCATACTAGAGTGAAAACCTGAAGCTGACCTCTGAAAAGGAACGTAAATCATCATGAACCTACCCGTTCGTGAACTTCGACAGTTTTCGAAACTCTGGCAATACCACAGGTAGAATAGAAACCACTCTGGAGAGAACTATTAGATGTTTCAATTAATGTATAACAAAGTCCGCCAGATGACAATATCGCACTCACCTACTTTTCAGCTCACGCATTTCGGGATCGTCAGAGTGAGACTTTACCCTCACCATATTCTGAGAATGTCCGGAAGTCGTACTGAAACTGCTTGTCAATATGAAGAAAAATTGGCTGCCAGTGAAATCTCCAATTCATAATTGGCACATGATAATTATCGGCACCTAAAGGACCAGTTAGACCAGTTAACTACTTCCTCATTCCTAGTGCTTTAGGTGACATTATTTCCTTCTAACAACACAATACAGCAATATTACAGTCTTGTTCGCTGCAGATGAAGGGGCGTGTCAGGTGGGATGGGTTAGGCGCGGCGCCAGACCCGCTGTTGAAGCAAGCAAGCGGGAAGACTAAATCATATCGTTTGTATCAACTCGTTTCCACCAACTTTTGTCGCTTACCCGCCTCAATAACTGATGAGTATAGTGCGTCGACTGCTGTGGTGAGAAACACCAAGATATCATGAACTACCAACTTCATTGCCATACCCATTCGAAGGACAGGA